CGCAACGAATGAAATCGGAAGCTACAGATGCGTCGCCAGCGATTGATTCACTTCCACGATTGGCCAATCCGGAGAACAACATGCATTACACTTTGCGATGCGAATCAACAAGCTCTGCGTATGGGCAATTAAGGGATCAAGCATTTGCACAAGATGCACACACCGCCACGCTCAGCCCGTGCTCGCCCCTCGCATCTCGCTCGACATTGATCTAGCTAGCGACCCACCCAAGAGCAATGCAAGCGCACTTCACGAGCGGCCGCAAAGCGAAAGAAAGATTCTTACCATCGTCCCACCCCAGCTTTTTGCTTGTGGCCACTTCGGGATCACGCTTCAGATTGCACCAAAGCATCTTGTCATTGACGTATCGCAATGTCAGAAGGGGGAGAAACAGGTGACTAAGAGCGGTGCTCAGTTGCCATTGACAGCGCTGCCTCCAGCAGCTGCATCAGCAGCGCTCGCAGCCGCCGCCAAAGTATCGACGAGCAAAGCTCTCCAGTATCGTTCCACAAACGCAGCAGCATCGTCATCCAGCACCTGCAAGGGGGGCGAGATCGATGCAAAATCAGCAACTGCACAAGTCGATCTTGGGCATGATCGCGCTCAAAAGTGACTCACAGGCTCCAGCGTCTCTATGATCTTTGTCGGTTTTGCTCTTTCCCTCGTAGCGCTGACCACAGCATCTTCCAGTTCCTCGACCTGTTCTCCCACATACTCCACCATGAGTCTCTCGACGAGCGGTCTAAAGCGGCTCTTGATGACTTCCTCGTCCACCCAGTCCCAATTGGGAGTGGTAGCCCAAATGACCTCGCTAGATTGACTGGCTAGCTCCGCCTCTAATCGTAGCGCATGCTTCGCTCTCAGCGCTTCCTTCTCCGAATCAGAAAGCGTGCTGCCCAATTCGATCTTGCGCAATCTGCGTCGGCCCAGGTCTTCCTCTTCCGCTTCGCCCAACACGGGCTTGAGTCCGCTAGACGCGTTCGCCACAGCATGCGCCGCGTGCTCATCTTCCCCTTCCTTGGATGTGCCGCCAGCTGCGTTAGCCTGCACTTTAAGTCGAAGAGGCGCATGAGATCCGTCGCCAGAGGGCACGAGAACACCAGCAGCTCTAGCGGCTTCCAGCGCTGCAGCTTCGTCCGCAGCCGCCTTTTCGGCCGCCAATCGATCTGCTTCGACCTTGGCTGCTGCCTCTGCAGCCTCGGCTGCCTCTTCAGCTGCATCCGCCGCCTCCTCGCGTGATCGTGCAGCCGATCTGTGAGACCTCCATCGCGAGCTGTGCAACGTCGAGCAGGACCAGCGTCAGCTATGCGACATCGAGGCGATACATCCCGACATCAGTGCCAAACTTACCGATCGTAGAAGAACATTTCTCGCTCCATCTCGCGGCCTACATCCCACGACTCTGTCCTCGCTAGCAGGCCCGAAGCTCGAGACACTCTGTCCTCATTTGCTCGTCTCTCCTTCTCGGTCTCTCGCTCCCAGTGCTCAAAGCGACGCCTCTCAGCAGCCACATATCTGCGCTCAGCCTGGGTGCGCAATGCATCTACAAGGTCAGCACAGAGATACTCCACTTCACCACCACGATTTCACTCTGCGTGTCTCCTTCTCACCTCAAGTCCTTCGCGCTTGGTAGCTTCACGCTGCTGTTCTAGCCTTCGTGCTTCCTCTTGGTCATCTCTCGCGATCGGATCCAGGTCATCACTCTTGACAAAGCCCAGAGGTCTCTGGTAGCTCTGTGGACCATCCTTGCCCACGCCCAGCGCACCAGCTCCACTTGCGTTGTTCGGAGACCCAGCAGCTGTACTCGTCCAATTGTTGCTGGGATGAAGAAGAGTTTGCTCCCTCATGCTTTGCGCTTGAGCCATTCTCCTCTCCTGCTCCATCACCCTCTCTTTGCGCTTCTTTTCTTCTTGTCTAGCAGCCGAAGCTTGTCTGAACTGTTCGATCTCGCTCAGCACACTGCCACGATGCTCCTCTGGCAAATCTTCAGGTGGCAAATCCTTCAAGTGGGAAGGCACGCTGGCATTGATCGACTCTTCTTGGCCTCCGATCGCATTCGGATCCTTCATGGCTTCCAAGATTGCCTTGATCGTTTCGGCTGATGTGCTCGTAGCTCCTCGTTCCTCATCCCCCACCACTCTATCTTTTTCAAACTCGTCCAAGAACTTTCGAGTCTTGTCTTGAGCTTTGACCACCAGCGCCTTGACGGTGCCTGCGCCTGCGCCTGCGCCTGCGCC